GAATAAAACAAAGTTCCTACCCTTGTGGAACTTACATTCTAGTAGGGGGAGGCCAACAATAAACAGCAATGTAAAATATTAAGTCAGTTGTACAGACAATTGAATTAAGTAGAGTAGGGTAAGGTAAATTTGGAGTGCCACTGGGAAAGGAGTGTTGCATTTAAAATAAACTGCTCGGGATCCCTGGGTGGCTCAGAGGTTTAGCGCCTGCTGTTGGCCCAGGGCATGATCCTGGAGTCCCGGGATCGAGTCCCACATTGAGCTCCCTGCATGGAGCCTGCTTCTCTTTCTGCCTCTGTCTCTGTCTCTCTCTGTGTGTCTCTCATGAACAAATAAATAAAATATTTAAAAAATATATAATATAATAAACTGCTCAAAGGAGGCCTTATTGAAAATTGGGCAAAAGATTGAAGGAATTAGTAATAGGGCTATCAGCAGGAAGGATACTCCAGGAAGAGGGAATTGCCTGTGCAAAGACTGAAGTGGGGACATGTCTGGCACATACAAAGGGATAGTAAGGCGGCCAGCATGGCAGGAATAGTGTACTAGGAGGAGGGTAGTAGGAGATAAGGTGGAGAGGTAATGCATGCCAGATCGTATAGATTTCTAGGCCACTGTAAAGGGTTTTTTTCTCTAACTCAGGATTTCTCAATCTTGACATTATTGACGTTTGACCAGGTAACTCTGTTTTGAAGTTGCTCTATACATTGTAGGGTGTTGAGTAGCATCCCTGGCCTCTACCCATTAGATGCCAGTGAGTGGCACCCTCCCTCCAATTGTGACAACCAAAAATGTCTCCAAACACTGCAGATGTGCCTTGGGAAAGGTGAATCACCTCTAATTGGAAACCACTGCTCTTAGTGAAATGAGGACACAGTGCAGTTTTGGGAGCACAAAAGGGGCACCATCTGATTTATTTTTTTAAAAGATCATTCAGGCTGCCCTACTGGAAATCAACTGGGATGGGAAGCAAGAAGGGAGCAGGGAGATCATTCAGGAAAATCCTGGGTCTTGGAACAAAGGATATCTGGGACGCCTGGGTGGCTCAGAGGTTGAGCTTCTACCATCAGTTCAGGTCATGATCACGGGGTCCTGGGATCAAGTCCCACACTGGGCTCCCCCAGGGAGCCTATCTTCTTCTTCTGCCTATGTCTCTGCCTCTCTCTGTATGTCTCTCATGAATAAATAAATAAAATCTTAAAAAAAAAAAAAGAGGGATCCCTGGCTGGCGCAGTGGTTTAGCGCCTGCCTTTGGCCCAGGGCGCGATCCTGGAGATCCGGGATCGAATCCCACGTCGGGCTTCCGGTGCATGGAGCCTGCTTCTCCCTCTGCCTGTGTCTCTGCTTCTCTCTCTGTGTGTGTGTGACTATCACAAATAAATAAAAATTTAAAAAAAAAAGATGTCATAGTGGAGGTGGTGAGAAGTGCCTGGGTGTTGGCTATATCTTGAAGAGACTGCCAGTGAGATGAGAAAGAAAGGAGTCAAGGATGGCTAGAAGATTCTCGATCTAAGCAACTGGTAGGATGGGGTTGCCATGAACCGAGAGGAGGACCACAGTGTGCAGTAAAGGTTTTGGGTGGGACATCAGTAGCTCAGATTTGGGCATGTGGGGCAGCCCAGGTGGCTCAGTGGTTTAGCGCCGCCTACAGCCCAGGACGTGATCCTGGAGACCTGGGATCCAGTCCCACGTTGGGCTCCCTGCATGGAGACTGCTTCTCCCTCTGCCTGTGTCTCTGCCTCTCTCTTTCTCTCTCGGTGTCTCTCATGAATGATTAGAGGGAATCTTAATTTTAAAAAAAAAGATTTGGGCATGTGAGTTTGAGATGAAATTCCAGTAATCCAAGTGAGACAATATGAAACTCTGACCCAGGAGAGTAACAGTAGTAATGTACCATAGCTCTTTGTATTCAAGAGATTACCATTTTGGTGAAAAACACAAGATTTGGCACTCAACCAGAAGAGAGAAAAGGGAGCAAAGTGAAGAAGGCCCTGTGACTTTATGAATGGATGATGCTGGTGGTAAAATGAGGATGAATGCCTGAAGAGAGAAACAAGCTGGCAAAAGGAGCAAGTGGGAAGGAAAAGATGACAGTCTTTGTGCTAATCCTATGGATTTGAGGTCCAAGGGGGCAGTGAGAGGAAAAGTCTAGAAGAGAGTTGCCAGGGCAGCTCTGCTGCTCAGGAGAGATCACGAGGCTAGATAGAGAAGGAAAATCCCCACCTCTTCCCCAAGGAGTAGCAGGTGTATAGAGGGAGACTGACAAAATGGAGTAAGGAGGCCAAGAGACAAAAGGAGCAGTCAAAGACAATCAAGGAAGGAATAGAGCATGGAAGTTCAGCGGTGAGGAAGGTTCGAGGAAAATCCCAATAAACAGAAACTCAATTTAGCTAATGCTAGGCTATAATACCTATAGCAAGACATGAGGTTATTTACACTAAAGCCTAAAGCCAATCCACTCTATTACATTAAAATTATAATTTATTGGTAGGTGGTTATTTAAATGTACCTATGGATCTCATAAAGCCTAAGCTTGTAAAACCACAAATAATATTTACCAAACATTATCCATAACAATGAACTACTAGCATACATTACAAGATTTCACAGAAAATTTCCTTACTTAAGTTTGTCTTTAAGATGGGACCGTAGCCTGGATGGGTCTCATGAGTGCTAAGCCTTTTGTACTGTATGCCTTTGCTATGATTGATTATTTATATATGTCCTTGGCTTTTACTAACATGTCCTTTATCTGCTGTTTTGCCGACAGACATGTGTGAAAAAAGAAAAATTCTAAAAGCCTTTAAAGAATCATTCATAAATTATGTATTCATTAAATGACAGATGGAGCTGACCATTGAACAACACAGCTGCACTTATATATGTTTTTCCCCCAATTAATACAGTATAGTACTGTAAATGTATTTTCTCTTCCCATGATTTTATTTTTTTTAAGTGTTTATTTATTTATTCATGAGAGACACAGAGAGAGAGAGGCAGAGATACAGGCAGAGGGAGAAGGAGGCTCCATGCAGGGAGCCCGACGTGGGACTCGATCCCGGGTCTCCAGGATCACGCCCCGGGCTGAAGGCAGCGCTAAACCTCCGAGCCACCCGGGCTGCCCTTCCCATGATTTTCTTAATCATATTTTCTTTTCTCTCGCTTACTGTATTGTAATAATATAGTATATAATACATATAACATACAAAATAGGTGATAACTGATTATGTTATTGGTAAGGTTTTTGATCAACAGCAGGCTATTAGTAGTTATGTTTTGGGGGAATCAGGTTTTAGGTAGAGTTTCAACTGGGCAGGGGGTCAGTGCCCCTAATCCTGTGCTGTTCAAGGGTCAACTGTAGTTTGCACTCTGCCCAATTAAACCATTTATATGTATGCAAAACAGATGGGAAAAAAGTACTCTAACCAAAGGTTACAATCACATTGAAAAAAATTCCTTGATTCTCATCAGACTGTCCATTTTCTCACCTCCTGAGCTCAAAGGAAGCCAGTCTTTTGCAATGCCCTGAAATGTAAACGAGAGGTTATGCTGTCAGGTCCCAACTCAGAAAGTTGAGCTTCTTCCTCTCACCTACTTCTGCCCCAAGACCATGATCCCAATCTGGGGTTGCCAGAGGTTTCAAAATACATTTGTAGTAACTGTTTTGTGTGCTGCAACTAAGTGCCCCAGTGCTGCCAGTGAGATGAAATGAATTTTCCTTCTCCCACCAGATTTCCAAAATATTCAAGTTCACTCATTCACTCACAATTCACTCAATCTTTATTGAGTCCCAGTGGTGAGTGGTCACGACGTTTTGCCTGGCTCCAGGGAGAACAGGGCAGGCGTGTACAGGCCCAGAGAATGATGCCCTTGCTGATCCTGGCCTTTCAGAGAATTTCAATGCTGGTTCTGACAATAAAAATTATCTGAGAAAGGCCCCAGGTAGTGGAAAGTTTTTCCAACATATCCATGAAACAGGGACCGTTTTGACTGGTGTGCAGAGGCAGATAAGGGGTAGGGTCTGGTGCAGCTTCCCTCATGAGGGAAATCTGGCTACTCCACACTTATTGCAGCAAGGTTTTTAATAGGAGAGAGGACATGGCCAGATTAGCAGTAAAGGACCAAGAAGGAGAAGCAGAAAGCAAAGTAGTTTTCAGTGGTTAGGAGAGAACAGGTTCTAACGCAGTTAAGGTGTACACATTAACTTCTTGTATTTCTCAAACTTTCCCTGGGAAAATACAGAAGAGGGGAGGGCACTTACATTCATATTAAGGAGCTGCCACCAGCCTTAAGGTAGTAGCATTTAATACCGAATGCCACAAAGACTCTTAACTATCAAAAATGTTTGTACTTCAGCGGTTCTCCTTCAGTTCTGGGGCGGGGCACAGAACAAAAAGGCCAGAAGTAATTGCGGAATAGAAAAGGCTCAGATTTGTCCACGTGACATAGCTGTGATGCTGCTCCCCTGGCTTGGAGGTGGCTGTGGCTCTGTCCATAGACCCTGGTACAGTCGGGGACGGGGGATGGGGGGAATACAATCCAGAGCCAAGTTAGTCCCAGCTTGTCGCGCCTCGGTTGTTGTCGCCGTACTGCAGTATCCGATTTTGTAGCCCTTACTCCTGTGTCCAGAGGACTGGACTTTTTTGAGTTAATTCACATCCAACCACTCCTGGTAACACCCCCTCTTAGGGAACTGCCCTCACGCACGGGACACCCCCCTCCCCTGCCAAATTCCCTCAGACAGCTGTTCCCCGACAAGTGCAATGGCACCCTAAGGAAGGTGCAGCCACCCGGTGGGTGACTCCCACAATAGAATGGGGTTGCGGGGCGGGGTGGGGGAGAGCGACGCCGCGCCGAGACTCCCGCAACACTCGCAGGACCAACAGCTGTGCGCTCAGGCCTGGCGGGGCGAGGCGGCGGGACGTGAGGACGGTCCCGGCCCTCCCTGAGCCCGTGTGTCCCCGCTGTGGCCGCCACCCCAGTCGGCCACCGGCCCTTACCTTAGCGTTTCTCCAGAGCGCGAACCTCGGCAGCTAGCTGGAGCCCGGGACCCGCCGCAACTGCGCGGGGCCATCATAGCCACGCCCCGTCTTCACGCCCCACAGCGCAGGCCACGCCCCTCCCCTCCGAGACTCCCCTCCTGGGGCCGGGACCACGCCCCCTCGCGTCCTTTCGCGCCGCCCTGGCCACGCCCCCCCAGGCCCAGCGGTCCGGGGCCGCGGCCGGGCCGCGCCCCTCCCGTCGCAGCCACGCCTCCTCGCCCGGGCCACGCCCCCCCCCCCCCCGCCCGGCTGGGCCTGCTGCGGGGATCCCGGGTCGCGTGGGCGGCCTCCCTTGTCTCTAGAGAAACCCTCCCGGGTCTGGGAACTGAGCGCCGGCGACATTTTATCCGGTGAAATCAGACTGCAGAGCCTCGTCTAGAGAATGACTTTCCTCGGGTTTCTCCCATTTCCAAACATCAATACTGAAGGTAGTACTGAGAGCAGGTGGCTCAGGAGGGAAACACAAACATTGGACGAGTCCCACAACTGTGTCCCTTCCTGTTGTTTTCATGTCCGCTTTACCCGAGTTTCTTGCGGCCAGTTTCCATGTCTGATCTCGAATTTGGAGCTGCTCCTTCCAGGCAGTTTTCACATCCTCTAAACCAGAACGATGGACCAATGTTCCTTCTAGTCCCTCAGCCAACCTTAAGTGCCACACAGAAGAGTGGAGTAAACACAACTCCTGTATTTCCTGATACCTCCTTCAGAGGCCCTGGCTTGAGCACCCAGTGAGCTCTGGCTGACACCGGCCTGTGGAGACACCGCCACACTGACACTGAAACTCTGGTTGCAGCCCTGTGTGCACCCTGACATCACTCTGCTAGCCTTATTCTCTCCACTTACAACTCTAGGTTCACAAGAGAAATATGAAGGTTATAACCAGCTTTTCTACCCCTGTGCAGAAATCTCTGATTCACTCATTCATTCATTCAAATCCTATTTTTTGAGTACATGCTCCCCTAATAAGGAAGATAACCTTCAAGGAGCTTATAGTCTAAAGTTGTCCCAACTTGGGTTTGGATGTGACAAGAAATGATGAGAAGGAGAAGGTGTAGCAAGGGATTGATACGTGCAAAAGCGTTTGGTAAGCACAGGTCTTCCTGATTTGATTTGTAGGAATTTTTTGGGTAGCAAACATAGGAAGTCAGTTTTATAGGACTTAGTACACTTCTTCACACTATAAATTCTCAATAAATATTCACTGAATACTTAACCCTTTTCACATGTGTGGAAACATAACATTTCTTTGCTCTCAGCAGTAAGATTTGCTACATTTATTTCTTCATATACCAGGGATACATATTTTATGATAGCATATTTAGTTACTTTTTCTTTTCTTTCCACTCCATTCTATTTCTGGCTTGAATAGAGTGGAAATATTTAAAATGCTGCGCTACAAAGAACACAGAGAAAAGAACAACTTTTAACAGAACAGTCCTATTAAGGTCATCCAGACCCTAAGAACCCTGCCTCATTTATAAAATGTTTCAACTGTCACTCATTTTTGCCTAAAAAAATGAACTCACCGAAATTGGCTGAAATACAGCCTGTATAAACTACTGAGCTGATTTCTTTCTTTTTTTTTTTTCTGAGCTGATTTCTATAGTGAGTTCTACATCACCTTCCTCCACAAATAATCTGAGGCAGCTTATTAAAATATTGACATTACTGGATAAAACAAATAGCTGAAGGAGCCAGGGAAAGGGGAACTTAATGTAAGGAAAATAAAGCAGCCAACGATAAGATTAGCATTTCAGTATACAGGCCACCAGATCCAGAACAGTTGTTTAATTTGGGACAAAAATTTGCCCCTAAGCTTTTGAACAGCATCAGAAACAAGGAAATACTGAACGTTTTAAGGTTTTCCAGTGTTCTTAAGATAAAATCAATCTTTTAGATATTTTTAGAAAAACATTTTTTTTCTTGAATTTTAGCCCTGAGAAAAATCCTGTTTTCTCATATACAGAGGATGTAGTGAGCTAAGTGGGAAATAAGTGTTGTGAGGAGTTAAACACAGGTCCTCTCAATGTAAGCTGTTGGCACAATCCCAAAGCACACCGCTTTAAATCAATCCTATGAGCCATCAAAACTTCTTTTCTGTTTATCCAAGTACACAGGCCAATAGATTTCAACTCATATGTCAAGTTTGAGGTGTTTGTCGGGGCTTCCCGAATAACTGTGTTGAGCTTTGTAGCTTTCTCTAGGCTTGGAAGGAAAAAGTTCTGTGACTAATTAGCAAAGTCTGTCATGGGTGGGGGCTGGATGAGTGGCTGCTTGCAAAAAACCTATCTGACAGCTTCGATTTGCAGAAATAGAGGTCTCTGCATGCAGAACTTTTGTGTAGTAGTCACTCCAAGTCAACAATTCTCATTATAGGACTTTTGATAAATATCCAACAGTGGAGTTTGTTATCCTTTCTCTCTCTCTTTTTTTAAAAAAAGATTTTATTTATTTATTCATGAGAGACAGAGAGAGGGAGAGAGAGAGGGGCAGAGACACAAGCAGAGGGAGAAGCAGGCTCCATGTAGGGAGCCCGATGTGGGACTCGATCCTGGGACTCCAGGATCAGGCCCTGGGCCAAAGGCAGGCACTAAACCACTGAGCCACCCAGGGATCCCTCATTATCCTTTCTCAATCTCTCCCACCCACACCAGTCTCCCCTGTTCTTCCCTGTCTCAGCGCATTTCCTTTGCTGTTCCCATCATTTGGACCACTCTTTACTAGATTTATATGACTGTTTTTTTCTCAACATTCAGCTGTCAGCTAAAAGGTTGTCCCTTTAGAGCTGTCTTTCCCGACAACCACATCTGAAGTTGTATCCAGAGCCTCTCCATCTGCACTGAACGCGAGGGTCACCTGGAGATCCTGTTACAATGCATATCTGACTCTGATTCTGGAGTGTGACCTGAGATTGTGCATTTCAAGCAATTGCTCTGGAGATGCAAACCTGATGTTCCACAAAACACGCTTTAAGTAGCCCCCCATTTCTCTATCTCTGTTACATTATCTGTTTCATTTTCCTCATGGGGTGTCTCACAACGTGCAACTATTTATTTTCTGGTTTGTATATTGGATTGTTTGTGGGTTGGTTGTTTACTAAATGTAAATTCCCTAAGAGCTGGGACTTGAACCAGTTTGTTCAACTTTGTATTCCCAGCACTTAACACAGTACTGGCCCACTGGTAGGGGCTCCGTAAATATCGGTGAATAAGTGATGTTCAAGGTTCATTGATTTCTTCATATCTTCATTTCCTGCTTATTGAATACTTAACTGCTCATTTACATACCAGGAAATAGACTATAAAGGAAAAATGGCAGTGCTCCTCAAGTACCAGTTCAGGAACTGCTAGTTACTGGCCCAAGTGGAAATAAGAAACTTGAACCAGAATGTACATCTGATATGTCATTAAACACAGTGCTCAGTTAAGAGGGCTTTTTTTCATGGCAAGGCTTTCTTGATGACAGAAGCAACGAGTTGCTTTTCCTCCCAGGGCAAGAAACTCTGGGGAGAAGGAAAGATTTTAAGCGATAACAGAGAATTATGGGAGACACAAAGAATTTGGGGAGACCAGGTGTGATGCTTAATTTTCTGTTTCAACTTGGTCAGGCCATAATGTTTAGATATTCTGTCAACATTATGCTAGATGTTACTATTAAAGTTTTTTTTTTCCGGGGCCTGGGGGGGGGGTGAGATTATCATTTGAATTGGTAGACTTTGAGTACAGCAGATTACTCTTCATATTGTGAGTGAGCCCCCAACCAATCAATTGAGAGCCTTAATAGAACAAAGCCTGACCTCCTCTGGAGGAATTTTGCCAGCCAACTGTTTGGACTCAATTCTACTCTGAGTCCCAGACTGCAAGCTTACTGCAGATTTTGGACTTAACAACTCCATTATCATTTGACCCAATTCCTTAAAATCAGTCTTCCTGTCTGTCTGTCTGTCTGTCTCTATATATACATATCTTGTTTATTTAGTTTTTCTGCAGAACTCTGACTAATACACAAGCTATTACGGAAAAGACTGAGAGCTGGCCCCTTCACCTTGGCCTTGGCACCTGAGCTCAGTCCTAGTCCACGGGATACTCCCTTGGCTTCTCCTCTGATCCTTCATGGCTATTCCCATTCCTCTTAAGTTATGCCCCTCTACTCTGGCTGACTGGACTTTTCTTACCCGAGCCTCTACCCATCCCTTCCCCCTGCCACACTCCTCCTTTTCCTAGTCAACCCTGGTGCTCCACCGTGGCCACCACAGCCTGGTAAAGCTCCTAACATTCCATCTAGGCCATGTCCTTTTCCTTCTTATTGCCACAAGCTAGGCCCTCTGATCAAAGTGGTGACCACACAACTACTCCCAGAGCCATGAACCCTGCACATCTAAATAGAGATGCCCACTACCAAGGCACCACAAAGAACCTTGGGAAACATACAATTAAAACAAAAAATGGGCAGCCCCGGTGGCTCAGCGGTTTAAGCGCTGCCTTCAGTCCGGGGCGTGATCCTGCAGACCTGGAATCGAGTCCCACGTCGGGCTCCCTGCATGGAGCCTGCTTCTCCCTCTGCCTGTGCCTCTGCCTCTCTCTCTGTGTCTTTCATGAATAAATAAATAAAATCTTTAAAAAAATTAAAAAAATATGGGGCACCTGGGTGGCTCAGTCCATTAAGCATCTGCCTTGGGCTCAGGTCATGATGTCAGGGGCCTGGGATCTGCTCAGCGTGGAGTCTGCTTCTCCCTCTCCCTCTCCTTCTATGCCCTTCCTCCCTCTCTCTCAAATAATTAAAATCTTTATTAGGAAAACAGATAATACATGAAACAGAGAATTGTCATTAAGAACAGAAACATGTGAGATGCAGGCATTTTGAGAGAGAGAAGGAATTGTGGGAAAAACAAAGTACTGTGGGAGAGACTGAGAATTCACCCTTTGTGCTTGCCTGTCTTTTCTGCTTTGCCACCTTTGTTCCTCCATGACTACCATGCCTCCACCTGGCTGCCCACTTTTCCCACCCACTTTTCCCACTATGGCCA